AGATTGACTTTGTCCAGATAATCTTATTTCGATTTCGAACCGTTTTTGAGATGAACTGTTTCAAACAGAAACTGACGTGGTTTCCTTGTATGCATCACTCATTTTTTTAATTTAACAGATCCTGTTAAGAGGCCATGGGAGCACGTGACTAACATATTATCTGTCAACGATATTTTCATCTCTCTTCTTACTTTACTCTCTCTAGCCAAATTAATCAAAGACGCACGTCCCTGCTGGCGGGTAGCGGAAGTAAGCACTCGAAATAAGTGCGACGAGAATATAGTACATCATATCTTATTGAATGCCCACATTCGCCTGTTCATCACTTGGCAACGCTGCGCTGGTGAAGTCATGTGCAAATTTTCAATCTTATTTTAGGTTTCTCTTGTTTGCAGTTGAGTAGTTTGTGATTCAAAAGAATTTAGCTTTGTGGAAAAAAAATGAAATTTTTATTTTTTATCAGAATAGGTTTGTGAAATCAGTATATTTGTGCATTTTATGCTTGGCCATACTTCTAGACTAGCTGTTTATGTAAAGAGTTACGAAAAGTTTAACGCAAGTAGCACAAGTTACAAAAAATGAAATCCTATCGTGTTACATACACGATTTATTCTAATTTCATTAAAACATTGTTTTCATTATTTTTCAATGATAAAGTATCGAATCTACAAATATTTTCACTAATCAAGGATGATATGCATCACATAGCTTGTCACTTTGGCGTCTTCTATACATTCATTTTGCTCCATTTACTTTGAGTGATTTCATAGAGGCAGAAGAGGTAGAGTAATGACTGATCAGAGTTATGAATGGAAATTTGTTCTTGTGTTGTGTGATTTCCGAGTTGAAAAGTATGATAAATCACTGAACCGAGACAAGAAATAGCAAATGATATAAAAATATAGTTATAAAAGGCACATTCGGTAATCATTTACAAAAAATAAAACATGTCGTGATTGTTTACGAGAAGTGAGGAGGAGTTTTGTTTTCATTAATTTCATAAATATATTTTTATATCATTCCGTTATTCTAAGCAAGGATCAATCATTTTTCCTTACTTTTCAACTTGGAAATCACTTTACGCAAGTATCTACAAATTCTGATTCGAGACTAGATCCAGTGATTTTTTATCTTTTTTCACATTTCAAAATCACTCGATTTTATTTATAGATGTCAAATCAACAATTTATGTGATAAACATAATTGATTAGTGGAAATGAACTGTGACTAATACTCAAATAGAGTTTCATTGAAAACAATAAAATATAACGTTGAATGAGCGAAAAGTAAAATGAATCACATTTCTATGAAACATATATTTCATTTT